GGAAGCCTGGGTCCTGGCTGCGGGGTGAGGCAGAGGCGGTTAGGGGCGATCAGGCAGACAGGCAGGTGAGCAGTTAGGAGCCAGTGGCCCCAGATTGTGAGAGGCAGTCAGACATCCCCTGAGGGGTCCTGGATTGGAGAGGGTGCAGGCCGGACTGAGGGACCCTGGCCACCACCCTGACCCCTGGCACGATTTCATGCACTGGGCTGCTAGTTTAGTAGTAATGAACTATTTTAAAACTAGAGGGCTGATTTTAATTCTGTTTGCTGGTTTAGGGAGGTGGTGTTAGTTATGAGTATGGATCCACCTCCTGGGCTTCGGGCAGCATCAGTGAGCATGGTGAGGAGTGCGGGCTGAGGCTCTGGGCAGGCCCTGCCCGCCGGGCTGCACAGGGAGAGGGAGCTGGGCTCCCCACCCTCCTGCTTTCTCTGTTGCCAAATCCTCTTTCTGGTTCTGAGTGAGTCTCACCTCTCGGACTGTTCTCTGTGCTTTCATTTATGTGCTTTTCCTCTCTCTCTGCTTCTATTTCTACCTCTCTCTTTCTCTCTTGTCTTTCTTTCCACCTCTCTCAATCCCTGCTTTTGATCAAAACCATCCTTTAACCCTCAGGTCAAAATAGAGCTGAGTGATATACTTTAATATGCTTTTATGTAAGGTTTGTAGATTGAACAGTATTTTCTGTTTCCTGCCTCAAACACAGGCAGGCAGGTGGGTATAATTTTTTTTCTGTTAATCCAGAAAACAAATCCACAGTGGTTTTCATAGGTATGACCCTTGACTGATTCCCACCGAACCTTCTCCCCGAAACCCAGAAATTGGGGACCAGCAATGGGCTAAACGATCCAGTCTAGAGCTCCTAGGCTACAGCAGGAAAGGACCTATGCTTGTTGCCCGATAGGTGGGTGAGGGGGATAAGCATGATAGCAGGGAGCATGCAAGGGTGAGGGGCGCAATCTGGGTGTATGAAATGGAGATCCCAGTTAGCAACTGCCCGCTCATGTCAGCCTCTGCCACTGTCCAGCCTCTGCCACTGCCTCGACCCTCCCTGAGTGACCTGCTTCCCCAGGCCCTGAGCTCACCTGGTGCTGACCCCTCCACACCTTCGCTGTGCACTCCCTCTGTCTGGCACGTTTTGGCCACCTGCCCATCCACTGAGGTCTTCCCTGATGCACAGAACCAGCTAGAACAAATTCCTCCTGCTGCCCCCCGGTGGTCAGAGGTGGGGGCTCAGTTATCTTGGTTCCCTAGTGCCCAACACAGTGCCTCGCACAGAATAGGTATTCAATCAACGTATGTTGGAAAGGGAAGTGGGATTCCACATAGAATCTTTGGTCTCCCATTTTAGCAGAAGGAAATCAAAGTGGGCAAACTTGGCCCCGGCTCTGAGGTTGCCTCCCAGATCTGCTCTCCTGCCTGGAGGCCTGCCCCTGCACCCCTGCACTCCACCCAGTCTCCACGGCTCCCTCCCCCATGAGCCCTTCCGACTCCCACTCCTGTCCCTTTCCTGAGCTCCCAGCTACCTGCTCTGTCATGGCTGTTTCCACACCCCCATGTTAGGCACACACGAGACTGTCACCTCACACCGTGAGCCAGCCCCTGGAGGGTGACACTTCCACAATGACCAGACTGAATGAGGAAGGGAAGGCATCTCTGCCAATCCCTGGGAGAAGAAAAAGCTCGAACCGACCGTCCTGCTGGTTGACAGGAAGCGGGGAGCGAGTCGGGCCCAGCGTCCCGGCGGGGAGAGGAGGTACTGAGCGCCGACGGTCACTCACCCCCGGCAACGTGGGATCAGGAGGGATTACAACGTTACACTACCTTGTCGGCCAGTGGGTCTCCCGGTCCATCTTCGCCTTCCCCAACACTTAGCTCTGACCGCTCGCAATTTAGTGTCTGAGAGGCAATCTAAAAGAGTGAAGCTGCGTTACGGAGAACCCCACAACACTGCAGGGCACAGCTCCTCTCGTGGAGAGCGGCTCACGTGGCAAAGCTCGGTCCTTCGCCTACTCAGCTGGGCCTTCCCGAGGAAATAAGATCAAGAAAGTGGCGTTCGACTTGAGCATTTATTTAAAATTGGAAAAGAACTTGGTTTGTTCGTTCGTTCGTTTTTGTTTTTTTTTCTGAGCAGGCACAGACCACAAGCACGTCACAATCAATTGGCTATACATGAATTAGTTTTGTCATTTTCTTACTGACAGCGGGAATGGAATAGCACCGAGAGAGGTGTGCGCTACACGTTACATAGACAATCTGCGGTACGCAACAAAACCCAGGCCACAAAATCGGAATGAGACGCTCCTGTCTGCCTCCGAGAGGCAAAAATACAGTGAACCCAACGGGCACGCCCGCGGGGGCCACAGAGCTGCGGGGCCAAGGCCCAGAGTTAGGGGTGGTTTTGGCAGGCAGGCAAAGCAGACAGTGGCAAAGGCTCAGCCCTCGCTCTCCTGCCAGGGGAGTTGAGGAAACCACAGGGAAATGCACAAACCTGGGAAGTACAGGCATTGGGAGCTCAGTCCCCTTCAGAAAGGCAAAGGCAAAACACTGCTTGTGGGACCGGAAACAGTTCCCATCAGCACGTCTGGGGTACAGAACAAGACGGCTGAGTTTCACTTATGAGCAGTAGAATTCAGAGCTTCTTGCCAGCGAAAGGACATATTCAAGAGTCAGAGTGAACTACAAACCGGGGTTAAGAAGCTGGGGCTACTGAAGGGTGGAAAAAGACACCATACAGGTCACCCCAAGCCTCGAGTCAGGGGCAGCAAGGTAGGGAACTGGCGAACTCTACAAGTTGGGCTACATACTCTTGAACCAGACACGGGAATCAAGTCACAGGTATCCTAGTTGTTCTACGGCACAGACAGATTTGTTTGTACGATTCACCATGTCTAGGGCAGTGTCTGGCACACAGGCACTCAGTAAGTGAATGGTTTCCTGTGCATGGTGAAGTTTGATTTACTTGATCTGCAAAAAATATATGACTATGCCTCGGAGAAATCCAAATTGTGGCTAACATCAACGTGAGAGGATGAAAATATATTGGCAAAGTATCTGGATAAAGTTAAGATCGCGTTGTTAGAGATCTCTGGTTCAGGTTAAGATTAGCTAGCAAAGAGCTGGGCTCAGTGCTGAGACCGAGATTCTGGTCATCCCCAGGTAGGCATCCAAATCTGTGATTCAGAAACACGAAACTCACTGACACCTTCTACCCTTCACCACCTCTCCTTCCTCACAGTTCCATACCCTGAGGTAGAAAGGAAGACGGCAGAGGGCCTGGCAGGGAGGTGTTCGTAGTCCTGTTCTCTTAGGAAAGGTGGCACATGTGCAACAAAGCACGTATCCATCAGCCCCAAGGTGACCAACAAAATCGTGTCCAACCCAGACTTGGTGGCTTCAATGGCCAGAATAGGAGACAGTCCTTCCAGACCGGAAGGACTAAGGAACGTCTGAGGTAAGGAACTGTGAGGACTCCACTCCTCACCACTTTCCTTACAAAAGAAAAGCAGGCCCGAGCAGAGGCTTGGCGTCATACAACAGCCCAGCAGGTACTTTGAGGACACGATAAATAAAGCATACTGAGCAATACACACGTCACAGGTTGGTTAGCAAATGTAATTTTTTCTGGCAGGTATTTTGGGGTGTTTTCACAACAGCTCTCTGACTAACGCCTACGACACAACTCTAGCACAGCTACGAAGGCCCTGGCCATCACTGGAGACACACAACGCACAGTTCATTGAGAGCTGCTTTTATTCATTAATGAGGTCAAAAATGCTTGCTAATCACCTAGCAGGGAACTCCCCTAGTCTTAGCTAAGTCACAGACATTTCCCCAACCCGAGGCTCAGCGCCCTCCGCCCTCTCTGAGGAGCAGTGCGAGATCCGTCAGGAAGGGAGTGTCAACATCGCCACGCTGGTCACTACGTCCACTTCCTGCCTGCGTTTCTCAGAAGCAGGAGAGTCACGTTCTAAACGCTATCCCTACACCTTGAACTTCCTTCCTCCGCCCCCTGTAACCAGCTGCCCTGCAAAATCGGCAGCGCTAGGCAGGCAGCCTGCAGAGGGGAGACAGGAAGCGACCCCTTCTTTTTCGTCACCTTCCCACGGTGGCTGAGACACCTAACCTTTACCCTGCCCTGGTTTCAGTCACCGGTGGGGGTGGACAATGGAAAGCCTCCTGATAAGCAACTAAATGGAGCCACACATTTCTAATAGAAGATTCTATGGGGAAATGACTTAAAGTTAGCAGACACAACTAAATGTATTGACATTTTAAGGCCAAGGTTTTCTTGTATTTTTTTTTTTTTTAATATTTTCACAAATGTTGTCCATTGCTGAAGTCCAGGTTAAGCTTCTATAGCAGATGACAACTCTCAGAATTTGGAAAAGAACATATTCACGTGAAGGTCCAAATTGATCACTGACTGACCCTGCGGAGGAATAGGAGGAGGCCACTCCTCTGGCCCCACCCCCTCTCCCCACCCCCCACAGACATTTCTAAGCACAACTAGGAGATTCCCTCCGCAGCGGCTGGGCATTGCCTCTGTGCGCTAAGCCCTGCCCGCCTTCCTCACCGGCACGCGGTGTCGCCTGCCGTGGGAGGCACAGCCAGTGAGCCACACGGCCTGGGGCTCCAGGGCCCTGGGCATGGCCCCTGGGCCACACCGAGGAGAGACACACCATGACTCTCTGAAACAAACAGGATTCCTCAACTAAAGGAAACCAAACCAAAGGGCTCCTGGAACGCTCAGGACCAAGACAGATGAGAAGCCTCTAATCAATTTTGTGGCCTTTTTTTGTTGGTTGATTTGAGAGAGAGAGAGAGAGAGAGAGAGAGAGAAGAGAAGAGAAGAGAAGAGAAGAGAAGAGAAGAGAAGAGAAGAGAAGAGAAGAGAAGAGAAGAGAAGAGAAGAGAAGAGAAGAGAAGAGAAGAGAAGAGAAGAGAAGAGAAGAGAAGAGAAGAGAGGAGGGAGAAGAATAAAAGGAAAGTGCAGTGACATTTACTCTTTCGCCTCAGCCAGCTTATTGTTCATCTCTTTACTTGGCTCCTTGTCCTCGGGCTGGGCTTGGGGGGCGCTGGGGCCCTCGGCGCTCTTTTTCTTGAGGGCCCGGCCCGACACCACCTGCTTGTCTTTGGACTTCCTCGGGGCCTTGTGGCTCGCTGAGGTCTTTTTTGGTTTGGAACTCGGAAGGCTAGTTTTTTCCACCTGCATGGAGAGACAGACAGACGGAAAACACGGGAATACAAAAGGAGAGGGCGTGGGAGAGAAAGTTTAGAGAGAAGACACAATTAATGAGAAGGTAACGGGAATGCCGACCTTTGACCCTGAGGCAGCAGAGTATGAAATGTTCTCAGTGATGTCAGGCCACTTGGCTTCTAGAACTCTCTGCGCCCCCTGGTCAGTCATCTGGCAACACTCTCTCTGGTCACGTGGGGCCCTGGACGTCTCACCCCGGACAGCCAGGCAGTGGGCTGTGCTGCTATTTGCACTATCCGCTTGCCTTCCCTGTCCAAGTCAGGCAGGCATATGGTCTGCTCTCGTCAGTGAGATGTGAGCAGGAGTGACTGGGTCACCTCCAGGCCCACTCAGTCAGCTTGTGCTTCCCAGTGCTCTTTCTCACCCCCCCGTTTCTGGCCGCAGAGGTAATAAGGAGAGCTGCGCCAACCCACAGTGGGTGTGTATTATAAGAAACTAAAGGCCTGGTGCATGAATTCATGCATGGGTGGGGTCCCTCAGCCTGGCAGTGGGATCCCTCAGCCTGGCGGTGATAAGGGCCAATTGGGGCAGCGGGAGGAGGAGGGAGGGGGTTGGCGGAGAGAGGAGGGAATGCAGGAGGTTGGCTGGCTGAGGGGAGGGACCAAGGGAGGTTGGCTGTGGGAGTGCACTGACCACCATTGGGCAGCTCCTATATTGAGCATCTGCCCCCTGGTGGTCAGCGCACACCATAGTGACTGGTCGACCAGTCATTCAGTCATTCAGTGGCTTAGGCTTTTATATATATGGATAGATGTCTGCTGATGTAAAACACAGAGACTGTGGGATGACTTGTTAACATAAGCCCACCTTTCCTCTGTTCCCATCTCTGAGACGGGGTGCACAGATGGAGGAATGCCCTCACTGAGATGCTTTGGGCCAGGCACATCGTCTCAGTGAGGCCCTCACAATTGCCCAGCATCCGCTCCTCCTCTCAGGCTGGCTCCTCAGCCCGTACTTCCCAGAGCAGCTGTTCAAGTCCCCTCCCTCTCCCCACGCTCCCTCTCCCCAAGCTCCCTCCTCTAACTCTGCCCCTTTGTCCCTAGGAGATGGCCTCACTTTCTCTTTCTCAAGAACTCTGGGGCCATTGGGTGTGATCCCTCAGTATGCCATCTCCCATCCATCTCTAGATTTATTTTCTCCAATCTTTTTTCCTCTTCCCTTTGAATCTTCTTTTTGTCCATAGCCAACTCCGTGTCCTGGGTCCTACCTCATCTGGGAAAGGCGGACAGAGATGACATTGGGCCCCTGGGCTGGGTCACTCACTCACTGAGTTCCAGAGGTTTCCCGTCACCCCAGACCTGTTCCTAAGGTAACCAATAGGCCCGGTTTGCCAGGGGCTAAGAGCTTTCATGAGACTCTCAGTGCTATAACTAGAGGAGTCCAGGCAAACGGGGTCGGTTAGTTATCTTACCCGAGTTGGTCAAATAGGAAACCACTGAGGGCCAGACTTTAGGGCAAAAGCAGAGAAAAGGCTGTCTAGGGTCTCAGACTTGTTCTGCTATTGCAGATAGGAGAGCTGACATTTGCACGATGGCATGTGACCTGACCTCAGAGAGCAAGCTCTGGCACATATGAGTCCTGTGTCAGCAGAGGAACCTCCAGCATGCTTCTCCCTCTCAATGAATGCATTCTGGGATGCAAACAAGGCAAAGTGGTGTCATGAGAGGAAAATCCCTGAATTCACATAAGTTACTTAGAAATGCAATTCATTCACAAACTGCTCAGCATAATAACAAATTACTCAAAGCATATCTTGCAGCTGACATGACAGGTGTGTTGTGATGACTAAGGACTGCTGGTGGGTGGTGTTTATCAAATGAAAGGGTAAGAAAACGCAGGTGAAAAAAAAAAGAAAGGCAGGTGATTTTCAGGGACCGGGAGGTGAGGAAGATTCTGGAGCTGAGAATGAGGCAGGGACGGGTGGGAAGGAAGCCAGGCAAGGATGCCTCCAACACTGGGCCAGCACTGCAGGGACAAAAGCACAGTTATTTTACGACAAGGGGATTTAGGGCTCAGAGGAGATTTTCTGTCACTTTTTCTTTTTCTGGGTTTCTCAAAATCAGAAGCTAGTTTTCTGCATGAAGCTAGTTTTTATGTTAGATAATGTTCCTTTTACACATTCCTTTTGAATTTATCAAAGGTTCTTATTAATAAGCCCCCTCTATCTCAGTGAGCTGCATTTAAAACATTTATTTTATATATATATAATTTCAGAGAGAAAGGGAGAGACAGAAACATCAATTATGAGAGAGAATCATCGATCGGTTGCCTCCTGCATGCCCCACTGAGGATCAGGCCATAATCTGGACATGTGCCCTGACTGGAAATCAGACTGTGACCTCTTGGTTGATAGGTCCATGCTCAACCATTGAGCCACCCCGGCCGGCCGGCCGGCTCCTGGGAGGATCTGGAGTGGCCCCGCTCCCATGCTTCCTCCATCCCAGGCCCTGCAGATGGGCTCCCCACCGGACCCGCCTCACCTTTGGGCATTCCTTGAAAGGCTCGCTGTAGAGACTGCGTATTCTTCGGCGCTCCATAAACTTATTGTCCGCTGGTGTTGGCTTGTTGGCTTCCCCCTTGAACTGGGCACTGTAGCTGGTCTCATGAGCCATCTTATCATCCGGGGGCTTGTACTGGAGCCTCGCCTTTATTGGCTTCACAGGCTTGATGTCCGTCCACGCTCTGAACTCATTCCTGGGAACCAAAGAAAGCACAAGCGCGATGAGTCCTCATCTGCCAGAAGCAGCGCCCTCACACAGGGCTGCAGGCTCAGCCAGCTCAACGTGAGTCCTTGGGGTACTGGCTGGACGGTGGTTGAAGAGGTAACTCCACTCTGTTCTCGCGGGCAAGTGCGAGGTTTCCTCCGCCAAGCTAATGCAGGTTTTGGCAACAGCAACCGTGCCTGGGAGGAGGGCTCAGGCTCCCAGCTCCCACTGAGTGATCAGTCACGGGCAATTCTAACCTCTGAATTCTAGCCTTATTTCCCCAATATTCAAGATGAGGCTGAAAAAACTCAGTCCATCCCGTCACTCATGGATTCAACATACACAGGTGGGCAAAGGTGGGTTTACAGCTGTTTGGATGGAAAATAATTTAATCATTAATAAATACACAAATACGCTCCATTTCTTGTACTCACACCTGTACACCTATGGTTGCCCTGTCCTTTATAACTGAATGTCTGCTTTGCGTGACGTTTAAGGATTATAAAAGTTAAATGCAATCATAGATTTGCATTGTGTTAAACCACGTGCCTGGTAATTGTGGTCAGTTGACAAACGCCAGTTCCCTTCCGCAAGTTGTCATGACGAAGACCCTTTGCTATGCGGAACCCCTAAGGATAATTCCCACCTTTGATAGCAGAGGGCTTGCTTCGTAGAGAGCTAGAACTTAAACAGTCGGAATCACTTTAGAGGACAATCCTTATGAAATGAGTAAATGCTCATAGAACCTTAAGTAGCACACCTGGGACGTGTGTTGGGATATGTACGTGTAGGAGTCCGTGTGCTTGGCTGTGAATGGCTCTTGGTCCTCACCCTAAATGACCCCATCTGCTGCTTTTTCGGAGCCAGTGTGTCGGTTATTTTGTTCACAGCAGCCTCTCTTGTGGTTTCTAATGAGCTGATTCTGATCTGTGACAGGACTGGAGATGAGATGGTCCACAACTTTTAAAAATATGGTAAACTAGGTCTGGCCAGTGTGGCCAGGGTTGGAGCAACGTCCTGTAAACCAGAAGGTCTCAGGTTCGGTTCCCAGTCAGGCCACATAGCTAGGTTGTGGGTCTGATCCGCGGTCAAGGCGCGTACGGGAGGCAACTCTCACATATCTTTCTCTCCCCCCCCCCCCCCCCCCGCCTCTCTTTCTAAAAATCAATGAACATGTCATCCTCGGTGAGGATTTTAAACAAAACAACACATGGCAAATATAAACAGGTGTAGCTGTGGCTGAAATGAAGGCCACAGGGTCCGCCCTGTTGGTGCGTGGGATTTGGTGCTCTGTGCCCTCAGGGTCTCGTCGGGCCTGTTCTCACGTGGGGCCCTGAGAAGCTGTGTGTGGGAAAGAACGAGTCAGTGTATGAACATCAGTGGGGTTGGTTCTTCCAGTGCCTTCTTCCATCCCCAGGGACATCCCCTCCTCCAGCGCCCAGAGCTCAGTGCCATGAACAGGAGGCCGTGGGGAATGGCCAACAGAGCTTAGCCCGTGGTGGAGACACACGGGGTCTAGCCCTAGCACTGCCTCTCACTAGGCCTCTCCCCTCGCTGAGCCTTCGTTTCCCCGTTTGTTAAATAAAAGAATCACCCCAGACAATGTCCTCATACTGTCCTTCTAGCTCTGAGGCTCCCTGAGTCAGGGAAGCTGTTTGGTAACTCTGAGCCACTTTTGGTCATTTGACCTCCTTAGGGAAACTGGTTCATCTCTGATGAGAGAATATGGTTTCTTAAGAGATGTTTCCCAAGCTTCAGACTCGCCTTCCCAGTACAGCTTGGACATCCACCTAAATGCTGTATCAACAGGTCAAACTCAACATCCCTAAGACCTAATTGTGTTGTCCTCCCTGAAATCGTCCTCTCTCATGAACTCCCTCATGGCTCAGTTTCACCCCTTCATTCACAAAATGATTTATTGAGTGCTTCAGGTCTGTCTAGCAGGATGCTGAGCTCTTTGGAGAGGAAAATAAGTAAGGGCAGACCCTGGGCTCAGGATGCGAGAGGCAGAGGGCTCTGATGTTACTCCAAGACGATACAGTGAGAGCCACGAGGAGGAGGGAGTGAGAAGCACAAAGGAGGAGCTCCTATGCCAGCTCTAGAGTCTGGGGTGACAGGTAGAGGCCAGGGGAGGGAGGAGCAGCAGGTTCCAGGCAAGAGGCTCCGAGAGGCACAGCCCACTGCGGGAACCTGCAGGCAGCTGGGTGGCCGGGCTGAAGCTTGTGGGGAAGGGCTCAGGGAGCTGGACAGATCATGAAGGTGTGTAGCAGCCATGCTAGGGGAATGCTATGGACTGTAACCAAGAGTTGCCAAATAATCCCAAGCCAAGGATGAGTGTGGCCAGATAGGCTTTGGGGAAGAGAACTCTGCGGCAGTATGAATGGTGGACAGGAGAGGGGTGGTGAGGCAGGAAGACAGGCTTGGGATTGTGCAGGGAGTCAGAAGGAAGGTGGAGGCCTGAACCAGGATGGTGGCAGCGGGGACATGGGCAGGGCTTGGAAAGGGCTGGAAGGGAGCTGGCCAGAGGAGCAGGGCTTGGAAAGGGCTGGAAGGGAGCATTTTGGTCCCGTGGGCAGAGGTGCTACTGATTGCCACTGTGAGGAGGGAAACTGGGAGGAGAAAGAAAGGAATTTAGGATGGAATTGAGACCCTCCTGGTTGTTAAAGGCAGCCATTCACTCCGGCATCAAGTTACTCTCTGATCCTTCCTCTCTTCTCCTCCTTTCTTCTCCTCTTTCCATGGGTTCAACCAGTTACTAAGACCTGACTTCTGAACCATTTTGGCTCTATACACAGGTTTTGGCTTGGGCCTGGTGACCCCTCGGGCTCTGGTCACCATTACCCTCCCAAGGCCCCACACCTCCTTCCTCCCCCTCCTCAGGACCAAAGCCCCGCTTCTTAGATGAGGCCTAAAACTTGCAGTAGCCAAACCACTAACAACCTGGCTCCCGAATGTATAATGGGAGCAACGTGGATCCTCTGCTCCTACTCCAGCCTGCTCCCAGCATTAGGACTGACATGGGCACACGCTGGCCGTGAGCACTGATTCTGGGCCATCTCTCCCCGGCCAGCCCTGCAGCTTCCTGGGTCTCTGCAGTGGCCTCCGTGCGCTGCCCAACGTCTTACGGTGAACGTGTTCCGTGGGCCGTGGCCTCCCGGGAAAAGCGTGGTAACCCCTGATTCTGAACATCTGGGCACGTCATCTTCCCATGAGACTATGCTAGTAAGTCCCACAACAAGTTCACTTAATTATGACAAACTGTTAGGTTTAAACCCAAGTTCTGTTCCTTAGAATTGTCTCTGAACTTTTCACAACACCTTTCCCAGCCGTAAGTAACAACTAGTCGTGTGTCATAAAAACAGAATTAGCCACGATTCATTAATCACCTTTAATAAGTTGGTGGGTTGGGTTTTTTGGTTTGTTTTTGCATATTCTCTTGGTGCTTGCGACAACTTGGGAAGAAGGCGGTATTATATCCCTTTTATAAAAGAGCAATGAGAGAGAGAGAGAGTGTGTGTGTGTAACCATGGCTCAGAGAGGTTAAGTGCCTTGCATAAGGCCACAGAGCTGGCAAGCAGCAGAGCTGAAATCTGAGCCCTTCCCACTGCGCGTGGGCAATGTGCTGGAGCTGCCGCCCGCTCCCTCTGCCCTCGCTGCAGGTGCCTGGGCAGGGTCTGGCCGGCTGTCTGCAATCCGTGGAGGCTTCATATGACCCAGACTGGACTCGATGACATCTGAGCTCCTGCAGCGTGAGAAGCCTCGCCCATATCAGTGGAGGCCACGCTCTGACGCCCGTCACACCGGGTGCCTCTTGCCACAAGTTCACGGTCCCCTGTAGCCATGAACTTGCCTTTCTGTGACAAGATTTCAGCTTGATCATTCATTTACTCTTTAACTCGTTCATTAATGAGTTAATTCATTAATTCACGCGGCATTTGCCGAACACCGGCCGTTGGTGTGGCATGTGAGCCACAGGAAGGAGTAAGCCGCGGTGGACGTGTCTATGGTTCAGGGAGTCAGAATCTGTCCATGTGTGACCCTAGCAAACAGGACAGAGGTGAGACTGTCAGAGGGAAAGAGAAGAGGGCCTTTAATTCTGGAGGGAGGACGTGGGGAAGGGGGCGCTGGAAAACGCAGGTAGAGCAGATGGTGAGCGTAACCGACACTTGCCCGGCACCTACTTCAAGCTCCTGGCAGCTCGTGGCAGCTTTGGCTCCCGTAGCAACCACGATGGGTGCACACCACAGGGAAGCTCTGGGCACACGGGGAAAGCCCCCATCTACAGGCTCTGCCCTGGCATCCCAGGGGTGCTCCACATGCCACAGCTTCTCCTGTGTCATTAGTGGGGGCGTCAGGGACAGGATGATCTCCAGCTGCATTGCCAAACGCCCACTGTCCCTTCCGCAGTGGGTCCCTGGGCGGAGCCCTGCCAGGAGGCCTGACGCAGGATGTAGCTCCTGCACAGCACACTCCCTGTGGTGGCAGAGGAGGGTTCTGTACGACCATGTCCCTCTGTGGGAGGGTGAGCTGCACACAGAAGCCCCTCTCCCACTATGTCCCAGTCTGGGGCTCCATGACCCCTCTGGTGGCCCATCTGTGCGGAAAAATCTATAAGAGCAGCCCGGGCCGGTCTCGGCCTCCTCCCCCAGGAGTGGCAGAGCCAGGCCCACCTCTCGGAGGCCAGGTGGGCAAGGTGCTCCTGGCTGCTCCCCGGAGACCTTTACACAGCTGCACAGTCACGTTCAGAGCAGCTGCTCAGGCAGGATTTTAGGATCTTGCTGACCAGGCAAAGTCTTTAAAGGAGACAACTCATACTCTGCCTTCATCTTCTACGGCCCAGTCCCTCGGCCCCATCTCACCTGGGCCCTCCATACTCCCTTCCCCCAACCTTTGGCTGTGGCATCAGGACCCTGGCGTCGGGACCCTGGTCCCAATCTCCTCACTCGGCTGCTCCGGCACAGGCTGCGGGAGAAGCCTTCCTCCCGCTCG